CCAAACCCACGCCATAAACCTCACAGCCAAAACCCACAAAGTCATCACTGGACAATGGCAGGATTGAGACCGGGAGCTTTGTGTGCCAGCGCCGCAGGAGCTGTCGCAGACACTCCACTCCGAAATCCTGGGCTGTCTGCGAGGGGACAGCAACAAACTTCATCTGCACATGCGTACGCATAGAGCCTTGCATGTGTGTGCGTGTGCTCATGCATATACATACATGTATATATATATATATATATATGTATGTATGTATGTATGTATGTATGTATGTATATATTGTGCACATGCATGCAAATCAGGCTTGCATATCCAGCTGCGCATGAATGTGCCGGTCTGAATGATTTTGTGAGCTTCTTCCGTGTAGCGGAGAACTCGTGTGGCCGGGATTAGAGATCGTGCCGACATCCGAAAGACGGTGGCTTTCAGATCAAGGTTTTGGAGTTGATCCAAGTTTTCCAGGTTCTTCAGCGGTTTGATCGTGGCTGGGCGCAGGACCCGAAACCAGCAAGGCAGTCGATGCTTGTCTCACAGGTGGCTGCACCGCTGGTGATCATCAAGACTGATAATAAGGAACGCTACGGAATGGTATTGGAAGTTAGTTCGGCTTCCATAGTAATGTGGCATTGAACCCGGGAAGTTGCGATGCACAAGGATCCTCTTTTGGGTCAGCACAGGAATTCTGCATGTTGGCGATGCAAGGACAAGGGCCTGAAGGGGGACTCGAGTTTAGGGAAGCGCCCATGTAAACAGGGTTTAGGGTCTCCAAACTACGACGGAAAAGATGCTTTCTCCAAGGTCCTTTATAGTTTTTGCGTTCCCTATATTCTCCACTGTAGTTCCTTTTTGGGTTAACCAAAATCTCTATTATAGGATCCTAACATATCCTAACCATAAAACTGGTTAACACAAAAAGAACTACAATGGAGACTATAGCTCGGCTTTCCCTAAACCCTAAACCCCTTTATAGTTTATGCGTTCGGCCTTGATTTCGACCCTGTGCTTCATAGCTGCCCAGTGTCGTCCAGTTGCAGCCTGCCACGACACGGCAAGACCTGCCCAACACACATTCTTCGGACAACGGGTAGGCCTTCCTTGGCCTTGAACTCTGAACCATTTACCCTGAACCCTGAATCCTTGACCCGGTTTCAGTTTACGGATTCAGGGCTTGAGGACGGATTCGGAGGCTAAAGGGAGCTTCACAACGCCTCATGTCTCTATATGTAGTCATGTGCAGTGCAGACTGTAAAACTTCTATGTTCTGTCTTTGCCAGGATCCTTCTAAGCAGAAGCCAAACCAACCTCCTGGTGGACACGAACGAGAGCCTTGTACATCTGCCCCCACCCAGAACCCTGAACCCTAACCCTTCGAATACAGTGAAGACCACCCCGAACCCGGGGGCGCAGGACACCTTCTATGATTCCTGCACAAGAATAAGCCCAACCCTTGATGCTCGAAACAGTTCACCAGTCTACACGGCAATTCGAACACGGACATGACCCCCCCAGCCGCTCAAGATTTCTTACTCAGAGACTCCAATATTCCTGAATTAAGGAATATACCTTAAATCATATTAGGGATCCTACTATGACTTAAGGAATATTCCTGAATTAAGGGATATTGGAGTCTCTGGGTTCAAGAGTCGCGTTCGATCCCAGGCGCATCTCGGAGGACGGCCGCTCTTCGACGCAGTCTGCGTCCCAGCCGCTGCTGCAGGAAACACTTCGGACCTGGAGGCCGCAGCTGAGGGTTCAGGGTGTACAGTAAGCCCCATAAAGTTGGAAACCGGATTAAGGCCAAATAGTGCTGGGATTCCCTATATATGACTCTTAAGGATTGAGGCTATTGGGTTTCCAACTTTTCGGCTTCTACTGTAGGTTTAGGGGCTTAGGGTTTAGGGTTTAGGGGTTTGGGGGGTAGGGTTTAGGGTCGAAGAACTGATGTCCCCGAGAAGTAGCTATATGCAAGTAGCTGTAGAAATCAATGATTAGTCGTGATATCTTCTCAATATAACCTGTACATTGCAGACAGATTTTACTACATGTGGGTGGTTGTCAAAACTATGGTCCCCTTTCGGGTCCCTATTATAATACGGCACCTATATAACATTTAGGGTACCCAGAAAGGGACCCTAATTTTGACAACCACCCATGTATGAAAGCCTAGACTTAGGAAGATCTTCGACTTCCACTCTGGCCCGAAAGGTTTCGGGTGCTGTAGCCTGAGATCAGGGTGTAGATTTTCGCCTGATAGTGTTTGGATTTCGACTTTTGGGGGTTTAGGGTTTAGGGGTTTAGGTGTTTAAGGTTTAGGGGTTTAGGGGTTAGTGCAGAATGTAGGAGCCAATGATGTGATTGTGATCTATAGCTAAGCAGCTAGTCGTAACTTTGTGAGCGACATGGGCCCCTAAACCCTGACCCGAGCAGACGAGAGCTTGGTGGCCATTTGGAGCGACCGGGGAGGAGCAGCTCGTTGGCCCCCCTTGAGGGTTTAGGGTTGCTATCTCTGCGTTGTAATTGTGGGGCCCGAGGAAGTATTTTTGAATAGCAACCTCTATCGGAACCATCAAGTGAAGTGGGATTAACAAGTTTTCCAGAGTGCCACCTAGGTGTACTAGAAGGGATGCGGGATTGAAACATATCTGAACTCGATGCCGTGGGCTTTTTGCGCGAAGATGATGCCAGAACGAAGCGAAGAACAACCACACCTGACTACCTGGGATGTTAAGCTCTAAGGTATTCCACAAACCTAACCATGCACCCAATCATGAAGCCTTGTAAAGCTCCGAAGCCAGACCTTGGATCCCACATAATCCGAAACATAGCAGAACCCCGAAGCTTACTCTTTAAAAATGCAGCTTCGGGCTTAGGGTTTAGGCTTAACTCTGAAGCCCGATGCCTCAAGCCATAATAAGCAGCCATTGACTTGAAGCTCTACGTCTGTGGACGTGGGTGACTGAGGTGTGGGCCATGGTCCCATCGCCGCAGTCGTTCGAACATCCCGACCATTCCGCCGTATCTGGCGAGCTTTGCACGTTTCGCTGACACTTATGGTTCTGTACTTCTTGTTGCTCATTCCAGTCTGATCAATAGCAATGAACAACGCCGAATTAAACAGTGCTTCAGCTTGGTCATGAACCGCTTGTCAGTCAACACAGGATGAACACTAAGGATAGCCAGGGGCTCTCTCATTGTTGTATGATTTGTACGGGTTATATAGAAAGGCAGGTCCGGTGTGCAGAAGTCGTTAAGGGTAGAGGGTTTGGGGTCTGGGGCTACCCGGCTTGCTTCGAGACTCTCGCATCCTAGAACCTGTGATGCCCTCATAGCCGGAGTGATCTCTATGTACGTCTATATACAGCATACAGATACAGCTGTATGTGAAAACACATGCATATGTATAGCATACATAATATAGCTACACATGTAAAGTGAGGACCCCACAACTCTTCAACTAGACTCAGAGTCGGAGTGCGCCGCAATACCTCCAAAGCCCTTCATGCCAGTAGTCCCCTACAAAACACGCACTTAAGCCCCAATCCTGAAAACACACGGATCCTTAAGCCCTCAACCCGACAACCCTGAGCCCCACAAACCCTAGCCCGAAAACTTAAGCCCCCATCACCACTCAATCCCCAATCCTTAACCCCTACTTGGAGGTTCAGGGGTAGTTATAAGTGGGGTCATGAGTCCCCTAAACTGGGTTATAAGTATAGTTATAACCCTATTTACCTATCCATGAACCTCCAAGTCACCCTTTCCCTCCAGAAGCCATGCTTGGGAGGGCCCCAGGCGCATGCCGAAGTCCCACGGCAGGGCTCTGTGGAGCTAGGCTCCACCTGCGTGGGCAGGATGCTTGCCGCCGAGGGGTGGGGGTTGTGAAACCCTGAACCCCATAGCCTAAACCGCGGACCCTAAACCCAATACACGAGAGGCTAAATTCTAAACATCAAATCCTAAAGTCTAAACCCTACACACCATACCCTAAACTAAACCCATGCACAGATTTTTGGCTGGGGAGTGCTAGCTTCGGGGAACCTTGCTAACCCAGCCCTACAACCGTAGTCCCCAGAATCAAAATCCCCTAAACTCAAAGGGGAAAAGGAGGGACCCTTAATGGGGACCCCTACCCCATAATGGGCTATATAATGGGTATATACTGTCTATATTAAGGGTATTTCCCTAGGGGTCCTTATTAAGGGTCCCTCCTTTTCCCCTTTGATAAACCCTGAACTCAAAACCCCTCAACCCTAGTCCCTACGAACCCCGAAACCCTAAACCCTAAGCGAGGCTGTCTGTGAAGATCGTCTTTCGAACGTCTCGAGCACTTCTTGCTGCAACCGGGGAGTCCGGAGAGCAAGAATGTAAGCAAGTACCTATGCTGGCAGTCTGAAATCACATGCCATCTAAGCTTGAATATCTGTGTTTAAATTCGCAGCTGGTTTCAGAAGCTCGGAATGGAGTCCTCATAAGAAGGATCCTGCAGCTCTGGAGCTTCGATGGTAGTCCCGTGTTCTTCTGAAACCCCAGCTGCGTTGAAATGGACCGTCTCAGAGTCTGATGAGCAGACTGCAGAAGCATCATGGCCGCAGCCACGTGGTGCTGCAGTTCGGAAACAGCTCTGCAGAACTCCCACCTCCCTACCACAGCGGCTCTTGCGCGTTGCGGGGGTGCGACGACTTGGATCGAATTCATGGGTTGTCGTTGAGGAACTGAAATCACAAAACAGATACTAGGCCACTAAGCATCCATACTGAAATTCCGTATCAGGCGGCTTAAATAAGCTCCTCAACTCGGACGCGGACCAGAGGTTTCGGAGTGCAATAAGCGGCACTGCCTTTGGGCTCGCGCTTGCTCGACTGTGCCAGATCCCAGAGAAAGGCCGCCTAATCCATCAATGTTACGGCACTCTCTTATAGCCAATATTACATAAGGCTTCCCTAAACCCTATATAAGCCCTACGTTTACCTTTCTTGAAGCTCTCTGAAGACCTCATCTCAGCGCGGCGATGTCAATGACCATGAGCCTGCGATACGGCGCCAGCTTGGATGGGGACCTACAGGAAAGGCTTGTTCAAGGATACCTGCAGTCACCCAAGATCTAAGGCAAGAAGTCTCAAGCCCCAGATGCTTCAGGGAATAGCATTCGCATGCATCCCCTGTGCTCGATTCGGCAGTTCCTCTTGATAAGACCTCGCTCCGCTGCCATCGGTTGCCCACCCAACATGTGGCAAGACCGAGCAAACTCCTAGCCGACACTCACTTTAGAATGCTCGCCTTCGGATAGTGCACGCTTCTGACCAACGCGACGCATCACGCGCTCCTGATGAGCGAAAGGTGGAGACTAGCAGGCTGGACCTTTCCACAAACTCGATAAGGGGTTCTGCTGCTTGAGCTTTATGGTGATGCTACCTGACTGCAAGGGCATCTCCTAAACTGCTTTTTATTCTCAGCGGGCTTTCGGAGTGCAGCTGAGGACAGGTGTTGTTCAGTCCTCCGCAGCTTCGTCACGGAACTCCTGTCAGCAAATCGTGGGATAACAGTTCTTGAAGAAGATGACCATGAGCTTAATCATCAAAACCAATCCTTCAGGAAAGCCCTTTCATGCTGTGAGGAAATCTCGGACTGTCAACTAGCAAAAGTGCTGTTCTAGGTTTGAGAGACGAACATCCAGCGATTTCGGGCTTGGAGGTTCCAGAATTCTTGGGTTTAGAGTTCAGCAAGCAGCAAAACTGGCAGCAATTCCTAGGTAGCAGCTCGAACATTTACAACCCATAATCCAAAGCCTGTACGGGTAAGAGGTGCAAACTGCAGGGCAGGGACCTACCAGATAACAAGATTCTCGCGAACAGCTGAGACTTGAGACCCTTCTCCCTTCCCCAATACCACCAAAAGAAACCCTACTATAATGCACTTATGGAAGTCTCATGATGGCCTCCAGTTGCATGTGGGTGGAGTCCACCTCATCCTGTCGAGACAGCACTAGCCGCCCATGAGAGCGCTTCAAAGGTCAGTCTCGAAACCCGAACAACCTGGCAAGTCCCAGTGCTCCCGGAGACTCACCTCCAAAACAGCACGCCTTAAACTCTGTAAGCCTGGCACCCTGCAACAAGTGTCTGCGCCCCATGTGCTACCGATCGATTGGGGCTTCGGGCTCGGGGCGCATCGCTTAGCACTTGGGGATCACCGCCCCCTTGCATTTCAGCTGTGGGGCTACTGGAAGAATGAGACATTGATGTATTTTCATAAGGTGTTATAGGATTTCTTAATGGATAGGAGAGACAAGGGTTTGCAGCTCTTTTAAAAAACTGTGGCGCGCAGGGTCAAAATGGGTGATGAAGCACCGGAGGAAGCACCGGCAGTCCTTGTGTGCAACTGTGTGAGACATGTGTCGGAAAGCTTACTCAGAAGTCCGAATCGTACGGCTTAGATCGGAACTGACGCCTTCGGCCCTTCGATCGGGAACGATGCATGCAAAATCCGAAGCTGATAGAAACGTCGATCCCGAACCAACGCAGCCAAGGATCCTGAACGCCAACAACAGGAGGAAATCACATCCGACATATTCTGTCATGCCCCTTTGCAGAACGGGGGACTCCCAGCCCGAAGCCACAGAGCCAGCGCCCAACAGGAATGCTTGCCTTGTGCAGCCACTCCTTCAACTGCCCAAGGTCGTCTTTGATGGACC